GTACAGTTTTTAAAAAAAAAATCCATTCCATTTTTTATAACAACTAATGAATTTAATATGTTGTTGAGTCATAGACTCATAGCTGACCCTCCAGTGGGTTATCAGAGTCAGTAAATCCCATGGGAGGAGAGTGCCCATTTTTCTTTCATAGAGAAACTGGTGGATTTGAACTGTATGTATACCTTTGTGGTGTCAATGAAACTCCTTACCACTAAGACACAGAGCTTCCTACATTTAATATAGGTAGCAATGTTACACAAAAGATTGTCTGTATTTGTTATTATATCCAAATGAGCAAACAATTTTTATTAATTAGAGTTACTTAGGATGAGAAAAGGACTTGAATTCAAGAGTTGACCCCTTTGGTTACACAGAAGTTCTTATACAGCATTGCTAATGTTATTGGATGACTCTGTTCAGTTAGTCTCTGATTCACAATGACTCCATGTACACTAGGATTGAGATCCATTGGATGCTCTGATTTTCAGTAGATTGACAGCTTCATTTTCCTAGCCTGTCTTAGTCTAGAAGCTTTGCTGAAACCTCTTAACTAAAAAGCTAGATGCTTTATAATATCTTTCATGAAAAATTTTAGTAAGGAGGGAAGTTTAACTTAAAAACTATTATCTGAATTGAGGTTTTCTGTGGACTTGTGTTCATTTCATTTCTAACTTTTATGATTTCTGACTCACTTAAAATATATATAATTTTCTCATTGTGATCTCCATTTAAGAGGAACTGCTATATTTTTCTAATCTTTCAGTGGTAGTTTTAACCAGTGTTCAGATCCACTTCCTAAACAACATGCCTCTGGAAACTATGAACTTTGATAAATGTTGATAGTTAAAGAAAAGCTTCAGGCCTTTCATTCACAGGGTTGCTATGTGTCATGCGCCACTCATCAGCAGTCAACAACAACAACAGCAACATATGAGATACCTGGCTAAAAGCAAAGTGTACTGGAAGAGTGTCTGTACTTTACTGACTATGGAAAGGCATTTGACTGTGAGGATCCTAACAAATTATGACTAACATCAGGAAGAATGGGAATCCCAGAACATTTAGTTGTGCTTTTGTGAAACATATACCAAGACCAATAGGATGTTGTGAATAAAAGGGAACACTACATGGTTTAAAATTAGGAAAGTTGTGCATGGCTTTGTATCCTTTCTCTGTACCTATTTAATCTGTATGCTGAGCAAATCATTTGAGAAGCTGAACTCTATGAAGAAGAATGTGGCATCAGGGTTGGAGGAAGACTCATCAATAACCTTCATTGTGTAGATAATGCAGCCTTCATAATGGATTACATGGCAACATCATGATACATGGAGAAAAGATTGAAACTGTCAACAGCTTCATCTTAGTTGGATTAACAGTCAGTACACTTAGTATCAGCAGTCAAGAGATCAGGAGATGTATTTCACTGGAAAAGCCTATAGTTTTGGACCCCTCCACATTTTGTGGAGCAGTAGTGTCAGTTTGAGGACTAAGGCACACATGATTCAGGCCATGATCATTTCAGTCATTTGCTGTGCATCTGAGAGCTGGACAGTGAATGATGATAGAAGAAGAATTGATGCCTTTGAGTTGTGGTATTGGAGAATAATACTAAATATCCTGTGAACTGCCAAAAGAGCAAACAAATAAGCCTTGGAGAGGTGCAATTAAAGTGCTCCTTGCAGGCAAAGATGATAAAGCTTTGTCTCACATACTTTGTGCTTGGTCTCACATATATTGGGCATGATGCTAGGAGAGGTTATTCCTTGGAGAAGGACATTATGCTTGGTAAGGGAGAGAGACAGTGTGGTGTTAACAGTTGGCTTTCTAGCCACTACATTCTCCAGTCCCTCTGCTCTCCAACTATACCTTACCTGTAAACGTATGGTCTTGCAAATATTCAACAGCTGTGGGACTAGCTTAAGAGAGCAAGACTAGCACTGAGTAGCAAGACTTGAAGGAGACTGGAGTAAGACTCTGGTGAGAGTAAGACTCTAGTGGTGAGACCCTGGTGATGGTGGTGGAGAAACTGGCAAAGTATAACCCCAGGAGCCCTGAGATAAAGGCCACAGTTAAAGGTTTTGCTCTTCTTGCCAAATGATAGAACAAAGACCTGACTGTTGAACTGAAATCAGAGCCTGGACTAATTGGGAAATTGTACCTTGGGACTTTTGGTTTAAAACCTAGACTTGCATCAGGTGATATTCTTTGCCTCCACCTCTCTGAAGCTTACTTCCTAGTAAACCCCAGTCTCACTTTCGTTACCACAGTCTGTGAGTCAACAATAAATAAACGAACCTCTTGCCACTAGTGTGGTTCTAGAGACACTCTATTTCTGCTTTGAAGCTGTGAGGGGCTGTGCTCCTCTAGCCATTTCAGAGACGCTGATGGCCCTGACTTCCACACCCCAATCCCATTTTCTGCTCTTTAAACAAACAGCAAAGGAGAAGACGACCCTCAACCAGATGGCTTGACACAATGACTGCAGCAGTGGACTTGAATGTGTCAGAGATTGTGAGGATAGCACAGGATAGGACAGTGTTCAGATCTGTTGTTCATAGGGTTACTATGAGTCATACTCAATTTGACAGCACTTGGCAACAACATATTAGGTACGTGGCATATATAAAAGTAGTGTAAAGCACTATGTCTACCTTCAAGTAGTTTGTAGCATTGTTGGGGAGATAACACTTACAAGATAAGCACTACTAAGACAAGACTGAGATTAGATTAGTCCTTGGGTACAGAAGATGCCATCTGAAGCAGTTAGCTGTATGCTAGAGTCATCAGGAAAGGTTTCCTGGACTTCATAAGAATTTGTTATTGTATCTCTACAGTATGCAATGTTTTATTCCAAAACAGCAGCCAGTGGCTTTTTCAAAAAACTATATCATAACACTCTGCTACTTAAACCCTCCAGTGCCCTTCTTCTTGGCTTTGAGTCAGAATTAATGTTCTTTACTAAATGACCCAACTCTGCTCTCCTGTCTTCTCATTTTCTCCCTTCCCTGATTCTGGAGCCTTCAGAATGGTTTCTAGCTGTTCCCCAAACAATACTGACTCTTCTGTACCTTCATAGTCATCTTCCTGGAATACTGTCTCATATCTCTGCATAGCTCCCTCCCTCAAATAGCATCAATAATACCTTTCTGAAAAGAAAGGTCTTGTTTTGAATTATACTCTTAACCTCCTCTAGCACTTCTTGGTTTTTTTCCACAGCACTGTGAAAGGAATGATTTCATTTTTATTTTTTTTTCATCTTAGCACTTTTATTACCTGACTTCTTTATTATGGTTGTAGACTATAATTTGGAAGCAGGAGTTACATCTACTTCCTAAAAAAACTCTGGAAAACTCTATGAACTTTGGGAAATGATGACAGTTATAGAAAGGCTTCAGGCCTTTTGTTCATGGGGTCGCTATGAGTTGTGCTCAGCTCAACGGTAATCAATAACAACAACTTCCATAATAACAGAAGTACTATTCTGTTTTGTTCATGGGTATATCCTTAGTATCTAGAATGATGCTTCTTGTTATTATTGTTATGTGCTGTCAAGTTGCCATCGGCTTATAGCAACCTTATGTACAATAGCTCTGAACCCTGACCTATCCTGAGCGAATCTCACTGTCTCCAGCATACCTATCCTATTACCCCAGTTACTGTATCAATCCATCTCATCCAGGGTCCTTCTCTTCTATGCAGTTCCTCTACCCTTCCAGGCATGATGTCCTTCTTCATGGCTTGTAGAAACCCACAAAGTATTTTTGTGGGTGACAAAATGAGTGACTAGGTAGAAGGAAGAAATGAGAATGACATTCTAGTTATGAAAAATGAACAAAGGCATATAAGGAAAAATAGCAATAAACATATGTAGGATGATGTAGAAGAGACAGACTTAACTTTAACAAATGGCCCCTTATTTGAGAATAGTTGAAAATAAAGTTAGATTGATAAAGTGATAGGCAAAGGAGTTTGGGCTTGATACCAACATAAATATTAAGAGTTATTCAGGATTTCAAGAGGAGTGAGCTTACAAATGATGTTTTAGGACTATCAGCTGAGAAATTATATGGAAGATATATCAAAATGGAGAGATTAAAATAGTTAAGTATAAGGCTTCCAGAATGATAGAAGTAAGAATATTAGAACAGGAACCCAGCTGGACAATTCTAGGGTTTGCAAGGGTTGCTGAAATAAAAAGCTTTGGTTCTCCTTCCATTCTGCCTTACAAAATAATGCTTAACCTCCAGGGTGCCTTTAAAATGAGCAGCTGCTGAAGGAAAAATCAGATGGTCACATATGTTATCTTGGGCCATACTCATTGATAATTTTTACCTAGTTTGGTAAACTGGAAACTTGAGCAACCATGATTGTATATTTAATGTGTATCTGTTTCTCTGTAGTAATAAATTATTGATTATGGAGATAGTAAAGATCTTCTATAAGTACATTATTAATTTGTAAATATTCTTAATAATGGTAATATCAATTTGAGAACGTCTTAACTACTTGAGTTTGAAATCTAAAGAATATCTAGAATTAAAAATTTTATGTAATTCTTACCAGTAAAGTTTTAAATTGTTTTCACTCCTTAATCTTCAGCTGTAATTTTAACATTTTTATTTCCTGCTTACTTTATTTAGTGTGACATAATCATAAAATGTTTAGATCCTAGTCTCTGTATCTTCTTTTTTTAATTAATATTATTCTAGATATCTACATTTACTGTTGTTGTTGTTGTTGTTGTTGAGTATCATCAGTTCAGATCTGACCCATAGCTGACCCTCCAGTGCGTTTTCAGAAGCAATTAATCACAAGGGAAGAATTTGCCCATCCTTCTCCCAGAGAACAGCTGGTGGACTTGATTGAACCATGTGCTTTCAGGATGACAGTGCAATTTCCTACCACTAGGCCACCAGATCTCCCTACATTTACTTTTAGATACCTGTAGCAGATTGCAAATTTAAGTTTAATCTTTTTACTGTTTCATTCTATTTCAGATTTGGTGTGAAGAAGAAGCCAATTTACATTAATGTCATAAGGGACCCTATTGAAAGACTAGTTTCTTATTATTACTTTTTAAGATTTGGAGATGATTATAGACCAGGGTTACGGAGACGAAAACAAGGAGACAAAAAGGTAATACTTTTGTTTTAATCTTTTGATAAAGTTAGGGGTTTTTTTTTTATTCATTCCAATGAACATTTACAGAGATTTTGGATTTCCATTCATTCTTTGTTGCACTTTTCTCCCTCAACCCCACCCAGTTTGCTCTTCTCTTTGAAAAGTAAAAGAAAAATTCCTTCATTGGTATACAATCCCCCCGCACCCCCCTACCCTAACCCCGAGTAAACTCCACTCTGCAACCTTCATTCCGGACTCTTATGATAATCATAATGCCCTATAATGCTTTAAAACTGTTCTCTCCCTTGTCTGTTTCAATGCAGTATACATAATTCGTCCAGTTTTTCTCATTCTTACCCCAACACTGATGTCAGTCCCATTCTACAGCAGTGGCACTATGCAGTGTTTGTCCTTTTGTGACTGAGATATTTCACTCAGCATAATGTTTTCGAGGGTCACCCATTTTGAATAATCTTGCGTGAGGTCCTTGTCTTTCAATGTAGCGTAGTATTCCGTTGAGTGAATATAAAACAGCTTTGCTATCCATTCATTTGTTGATGGGCACTTAGGTTGTTTCCAACTCCTTGCAATTGTGAGAGCTGTGATAAACATGGGTGTGCATATATCTGCTTGGATGCCGGTTATGGTCTCTTTAGGGTATATTCCCAGTAGTGGAATTGCTGGGTCAAATAGTAACGCTATTTGCAACTATTTGAGAAAGTGCCACACCGCTTTTCACAGTGTTTGCACCATTTTACAGTCCCACCAACAGTGAATAAGGGTTCCAGTCTCTCTACAACCTCTCCAGCATTTGTTGCTTGCTGTTCTGTTAAATTTTACTAGTCTTACTGGGGTGAGATGATATCTCATAGTTGTCTTGATTTGCATCTCTTAGAGCTAGAGATTTTGAACATTTCTACATGTACTTGTTGGCCATCTGAATGTCTTCTTTGGTGAAGTGTCTGTTCATATCCTGTGCCCATTTTTCTACTGGATTATTTACCCTTATTTTGTTGTGGTGCTCAAGTATTTTATAAATTCTAGATAAAAGTCCCTTATCTGGCATGTCATTACCAAATACTTATTCCCAGTCTGTGGCTTCCCTTTTCACCCCGTTGGAGAAGTTTTTGGATGTGCATAGGGATTTGATTCTTAGAAGGTCCCATTCATCTCTTTTATCTTCTCCTGGTAGTAGATTGTTCAGGATACTTGGAAGGCTGTTTAAGTTGTGGATTAGGACTACTAGAGTTCTTCCAAGCTTTTCTTTAATGAAGTTTATAGTCCTTGGTTTTAGTCCTAGATCCATGATCCACCTTGAGTTGGTTTTTGTATATGGCGTGAGGTATGAATCTTGCTTAAGTCTTCTGCAGATAGTTTTCCAATTTTGCCAGCACCATTTGTTAAAAAGGCTGTAGTTTCCCCACTTAACTGATAAAGTTAGGATTTTTTAAAAATAAACAGTTGTTGTTTTGTGTCATCAGCTTGTCCACAACTCATAACAACCCTATGTACAGTAGCTCTGAACCCTTTCCTGTCCTGAGCCAGAGTCATGGCTCTAACACACCTAATCCCATTGCCCCAGTTACCTTGTCAATCCATCCTATATGGGGTTTTCCTCTCCTGAGCTGTCCCTCCACCCTTCCAGTCATAATGTCCCTCTCCATGGATGAGTCCCTCCTGACCACATGCCCAAAGTATATGAGATGGAACTTCAGAATCTTTGCCTACAAGGAGAAACTTGGTTTCACCCTCTCCAAGACAGACATGTTTGTTCTCCTGGCAGTTTGTGGTATGTTCAGTATTCTTCTCCAGCAATCCAACTCAAAGGCATAAATTCTTCTTTAATTAGTAGACTTCTTTAATTTGTCCTTGATTATAAATATGTTGTTGGTTTTCAGTCAGATATTATTTACTGTTGATTTGGAAAAAATAGAATGATTTAAGGAAGCAAAGGTATGTACAGTTAAAATTGATATCTTGGAGCGTGCATACTTTTTTGGTTTATTTCTTTTTAGTAGACTTACTCTTTTTGGACCCTTTTACGTTTACAGAAAAATACGTACAGAATGCCAGTATATCTTTTCATCCTTTTTCCCACTACACACATTTTACATTATTTCAGCACACATATTATCACTGATGAGCCAATATTGATAACATTATTATTATTATAAATTAATGTCTTTAGTTTATTTTCGAGTTCTCTGTGTTGTACAGCCGTGGGAGTTTTGACAGATAAGTAATGCCATGTGCTCACTATTAAAGTACTATACATAAGATGATCTATCACTTTTTTTATTGTTTAAAAATATTTTATCCCTATTTTCTATCGGATCATTATAACTGTTCATTATTATGATATATGTATGTGTGTCATTTGAGTGTTGTGGCTTTTGGTTTTTAACTTTGTTTGTTTGTTTGTTTGTTTTGAAGATGGCAAGTTGTATTAATATGTGATCATCAATGTAAAGACACCATTTTGGTAAAACAACTACTTTTCAAACGAGAATAGTGATTGAACAGGGTTTTTGTAAGGTTCAGATTTATATTGTCAGAGTATCACTTCTTTTTCTTAAATGTCTAGTTGGAACTGACTCAGTTGACATGTTTTCCAAGGAAGATGAAATTATTGACAGCTTCAATCTTTTCTCCATCTATCATAATGTTGACTATTGGTCCTGTATTGAGGATCTTTGTTTTCTTGATGTTGAGATATAATCCATACCAAAGGCTGTAGTTCCTGATCTTCTGCAACAAGCATTCATAACCTCATTTTTAGCAAGTGAAGTTGTGTCATCTGCATAATGCAAGTTGTTTATGCATCTTTCTTCAATCCTGATGACATGTTCTTCTTCCTAGAGTCTGGCTTCTCAGATTATTTGCTCAGCATACATATTAGGTATGGAGAAAGGATACAACACATCTTTCCTGATTTTAAACCATGCAGTGTTTCCCTGTTCTGTTTGGACAATGGCTTCTTGAACTAGGTATAGGTTTCGTATTAGCAAAATTGAATGTTCTGGGATTCTCATTCTTCTCAATGTTAGCCATAATTTATTATGATCCACATAGTCAAATACCTTTGCATAGTCAATAAAACAGAAATAGATATTTCTTCTGGTGTACTTTGCTTTTAGTCAGGACACATCTGACATCAGCAATGATTTATATCCCTGGTGTCATGGTCTCTTTTAAACCCAGCATGAACTTCTGGTAGTTCCTTATCAGTGTACTGCTCTAGCCATTTTTTTAATGATCTCCAACAGTATTTTGCCTACATGAAATATTGGTGATTTTCTTCAACAATTTTCACATATTGTTAGATCACCTTTCCTGTACAAAATTCTGTCATGCATTCTTCAGCCTCATTTCTTCAAGCAAGGCTGTATTTTACAGTTAGAAATTCTGCTTTGTTTCCAACTTTTGCATTCTAATCACCAATTATTATTGTTTTTTAATCTTATGTTTGATCAATATCAAACCATGAAAGTTGGTAGAATTATACGTTTCTTACTATGTCTTTCATAGTGGTTTCATATATTTGAACAATAGTTGTAATAACAGGGCTTTCTTGTATGTGTACATGTCTCCTGTCACTCATAGCATTATACTTTAGGATACATCTTGAAATATTCTTTTTGACTATGAATGCAACACCTTTCTTCCTCAGTTTTTCATTCCTGCCTTAGTAGATCATATGATTGATTGTGTGAATAAAAAACTAGCCTATAGCTATCCATCTAAGCTTATTAATGCCTAGAATATCAGCCTTTCTGCATTCCATTTTTTTAATATTCAATTTTTAAATTCATAATTTTTACATTTCATGTACCAGTTACTAATGAATATTTGCAGCTGTTTCTCCTCATTTTGCGTCCTACCACATCAGCAAAGGAAGATTCTTCACTGAGTGGTAACTTTACTCCATCCACATGACCATAGTGCACTCCATTTGAGGAGGCAGCTCCAGGTGCGTTTTTAGTGCCTTTCTACCTGAAGGGCTCATTTTCTGGCACCGTATACAACAGAGTTCTTCCATTATCCATAGGGCTTTCAAAGACCTGTTATTTCAGAAGTGAATGGTCAGTATTGCTTTAGTCTGGTTGCTGTTGTTATTAGGTATCATTGAGTCATGTATAGTGACCCTGTATCCTGTGCCATTCTCATTCTCTTTTTCAAACTTGAGCCCATTGCCGTAATTACTACATCAGTCCATCCCATTGAGGGTCTTCCACTCTTTCGCTCATCCTCTTCCTTTCCAAGTTTGAGATCTCTTTTCAAGAAATTCCCACTTCTAACAACATGCACGAAGTATGTGAGACGAAGCTTAAGCATCCTGGCCTCTAAAGAGCTCTCTGGTAGCCTACTGGTAAGAAGCTGCTCTGCAATATCAAAGGCATATGGTTAGAATCCACCAGCTGCTGCACAGGAAGAAGGACAGGTGCTTTCCTCTTAACACAGTTAACTGCCTCTGAAAACTATGGTCAGCTGTGGATTGTTTGCAACTTGTGACAGCAAACATCAAGGGCAGTATGCAAAAAACAAAGTATTTGACATTTCCCAAACCTTTCTTCCCTTATAAGATCAACTGAAAGCCTGCTGGAGGGACAGCTGTGACTTATTTCCAACTTGACAACAGAGAAGCACTTTAAAAGACATTTTTTTAAATAGAAGACTTGTAAGAGTCTTTTAAAATTGACCATCTCCTCCTCTGTGATTTACAGCCTCTACAAACCACAGGAGGCTCAGCTATGGGTAGGTTGGAATTTGATGGCACACTACTACAATCTCAGTTTGCGTTTGATTTGTTTTTGAAAATTCTAAATCTGAAAATGAATTAACATGTCAGTCACCAAAAATTGTTGAGCACCGCTACCCCAGTTACACTTAACATTTGTCTTCGCTGATGTCACTTTATATTTTTAACTTGACATTCTTCTTTAGTTGTTATTGCTATTGTGTGCTATCAAGTCAGAACTAACCCATAACTGGCCTTCCAGTGGGTTTTCAGGAAT